GTCCTTTGAACTCACAGAAACAGAAACAAAGTGCACATGCTTGCGAGCGTCTTACCTTATCCTGAAGGATGTGTCCCCCCATGTGCTGCAGCAACAGTTTCGCGGGCACCTCCAAGAAACACAGCGGGCACTCCACTTTCCCACCCACATCCACAGAAGCTGCCGGAACTTCCTCCGCCCCGAGAGCCCCGCCCGCCATGCAAGTGAGGTTATCATGAAGAGGAAGAGGGGTGACTTGGTTGCGTGGTGGTGGTCGCACGTCAGGAACCGCCGCCCAGCCTTGTACCCTTTCCACTTCAGCTTGAAGCACGTGCTGTGTGGTGATCAACTCGTCCATGCTGAACACGTACGTCTGCTTGCCCATCTCCAACGTCGGGTCCAGTTCCTCGACAAGGGCAAGAGAGCAGCTGTAAGTAGTCGCTGTGTGCAGCTTTCGGTCCTCCCACTCAAACGTCGAACCATCGCCGTCACCTCCGACCAGCCTCATCCTCATTAGCTGCCCTGTGACCACCTGACCATCTGCGGCCTCGCCGCCAGCTGCTGGTGGCGCAGATACGACTAGAACCCCGACACAGTAGCTCACGGGTTGGTGACGTCCTGCGCGAAGCCTGAATAGCGCCGCAAACGGGGAGCCGATCTGCAACGCTGTGCCCGAGTCATCCAAGCAAGTGCTACCCTCGGCCAGGCGTGCGCCTGCCGGCGTCGTGAACGCCCGCACACGTGCGAGCCGATCTCTGGAGGCCTTGCCGGCGTGAGGCCCAGTATACTCTTTAACCGCGGAGGCCTTGAAGATCTATCATTAACGAAAAATAACACCGAAAGATACGCGCCGTGGCCGACAAACAGCAGGGCACGTGTAAAATAGAGTTCGGGATCAGGTTTGCTTGCAGCTGCGTGTACTGCAACGGTCCATGATTGACTATTCCAACAAGTTGATTCCAACCAAGTTCTACGTTAGACATAATTTGCTTCAGTCGATCGACAAAGCGCGCCTTAACACGTTGTGTGCAAGATGGTTGGTGGTGCGGTCACATGGTGTTCACTGGGCGAATATTTGTTGCTTGGCCAAGTTGGGAAAAGAAAAGTCCCTCGCACCTTCTTCGCGCCCACTTGCACAAATGGGCTGTGGGTAGATGAGCTTGACTCTTCTCCCTCCGTGTCCAGCACCTCTCGGAGTTCAGCGTTGTCGGAGTCCCCGCCACCGTCACTTGGCGATGCTGCCTGGCCGACGACACGCGCTTGTTCCGCCCTCACGCCCGCCTGCAACTCCCGTCGAGAGCACCTCAACGTCACTGCTTGCGCCACCGCTGCTATCCATCACGTCCCTCGACCCCTTCCCGCCGCCCGTAGTGCTCGTCGGTTTAAAAAACCTCAGCATTGTATTCCTCTGACGCTTAGCTTCAGCACCACGCCTGCGGATGTGAGTAAATATTGATTGATTGATCCGCCGTTGAGAGACGGAATAATGATCTAATCGTTCTACTGTTCATACTGTGTCAAGTTGCGTAGTAGGCGACGCATTCGCACACATCGACAAAGCTGCATGCATGCATGCATTGATACTTTGCGCGACATGCGTGCAGCGAGGATGGACAAAGTAACGGGTCTTGCGAGGTCTTGAAATGTTGGTAAGCACAAAGTGAGCAGTCCAAATTACTCGAGTATGCAACTGCGGACACCGACCGCCATCGCCCTCACATGTGTGCGGTCGACCTCTCGTGCTGGTTCACATGAAACTGGGTCAGCCCTTCACCGGAGCCGAAATAGTGCTGGCACGTGGTGCAAACCCAGTCGCCACGAGTATTCTTCTGAGCCATTTTCGCAACAGGCGAACGCGATCTGCTCGCATGCGATTGGCGTGCGGAAAGTGGCAGGCAAGGGCAGGGGACACCGATGTAAAGGCCAGTTCTGCAGAGGCACGAATATCCCCGTGGCACACAGCCTTGTGGGTGGTGCCGGTCTGCATTTCGCGCATTTTTTTTTCTCAAACGTTGTCAAGTTTACGCTGTCACAAGTTGTCATGCTGCTCAGCTACCGCTGCGGCTTCTGCCTCTGCTGTTGAGGCTGCCGCTACTGCTTCTTCCAGTTACATTGTATGCAGCACAACACATACGCAGCTGCCGCTGCCAGGTGCACGGGCAGCAGTACAACAACGTTTGGTGTGTGCAACACGACGGCAGTTGCATCGCGAGGGCTCCGCATTCGCGCACTCTTGTTGTTGTGCGTCCAACCTTGGTGTGTTGTTCTTGCTGCTGCTGCTGCTGCTGCGAGGCAGATTATACTAATATGTAACCAAGGCAATCTCACAAACTGATCCTCATTCCTCTACACTCACTCTTCGTGCTTGTGCGAAGCCTCATGCTGCAAGGCGGTGCCCTCGTCGACTCCTGAACCGTCGCCGAAGTTGTGTCCGCAGCGGCAAACAAACTCCATCATGCCATCCGCTCGCTCTCGGCAGACGCGGTTTAGCCAAGCCGTCTTGTCGAAGGGGGTTGTTGATAGGAGTCCCCTCCCCACGGAGACTGTGCTCATCGTGACCGCTCTCCCCAAGCTCTCGCTCTCTCGCTCCTCTGCTACGGACGGTACCGCGGCTGCGGGCTGCGGTACTGTTGAGCAGGGAGGGGCTACGTGGATTGTACTACCCCCTGTGTGCCCACTTTATATATAGGATTTACTATTGACTTGTTTATATAGGAAGTTGTATGGCGTTTTTTGGGGGGGGGATGGGACCGTCGGACCCCCCCCCCCCCCC